TGCTTTGCATTGCATCTCTGCTGTGAGGTTTAAGAACACTACTGAAGTTATGCCTGAATGTATTTTTGGCTAGTTTGTCCCTGTTTTCATATGCTAATGCACTTTTAGCTAGAATACCTCTCATGTATTTCATGCATTTTATTTTGCAATCTTGCATGATACTGAGGTCACATGAATAAGCCTACAGTTGTTACCACTCTCCATGAATACTTCTGCTTCTGAATACTTTCGCTAGTGTCATCCATAGCTGACTACCCCCTTAGCTTTGATGTGACATTTCCTCTGTGTTTTACCCGTATTTTTTCCTGTTCCAGGAGCCTCAGCAAGGGAGACTCTGCAAGCACTGTGTTTCCTGTGTGTTTATAGATCTATAGCTGATAACTTCTATTCATCAGTACCTTTTGGTTTCTTTTACTCTTACCAATCTTTCCAGACAACTGCTGGAAGAAACCACTTAGCCTGCAGTGCAGGGATGCAGACCTGTGTGTGGCCCCTCATGTAGGCTTCTACAACTTCAGCGTCAAGAAATGTCAAGCAAACTCCTGTTTGAAGATCCTGAGCTCTGTAGGAATAGTGTTTTTATCTTCTAGCTCATGTTTAGAAAGTCAGTCTGCAGTCTGGCAATTTTTGGAAGAATATTGCTAAGTTTAAATGTCTTGTGTACTCCCTTGTTACTGTACTGGCAGACTTCATAATCTTCTTTGTAATTTTTCAGGTTTTCTGTGTTATTATGGGTAAGTTTTGCAGGAGTATATACTATTACCCCGTGACACTTAGTTTAGGGGTTTTGTTTGTTTGTTTGTTTGTTTTTGTGTGTGTGTGTGTTTTTTTTTTTTAATTTTATGAAGTTTTATTCATTTTTATGGGCCAAACATAGCTACTTATTCAGTGGAAGGAAGTGACTTTTCATAAAAAGGTTAGTGGTAAAATGAGGTGGTATTAATTTGGATGAGAACTTTTTCCTGTAAACATCAAAGTTCTGGTTTTTACTTCATTTAAGTATTAATGAGGTTTTTTAAAAAGAAAACTTGAAGAAACAACCTTACACAAAGTTACTTACATAAATGTGATTGGGTGTTTGGTATAACTCCATTTTTCTTCAGGTAGACTTGATACTCAGATCGAATTGCTATTCCATACAGCTTGAAATACCACATAAACTCAAGATGGGTCTGTCATAATAGTTGTTTTTTCATATTTTAGCCAAGACTGTTAATAGTTGTTGTAAAGATACCTGCTCTGTAAGACTGTCAGCCTTGCTATTGGATGTTGAAAGTGGAGAGTGGTCTGTCAATCCCTTTCCTTTTGGAAGGACAGCTGTGACAATTGTAAATCAGAGCTTCCTCTGAAGGAAGAAGAATTTGCAAGTTGTCTTCATGCAGGAGCTAAAACCTGTGGGTCTTTTTGAGGGTTTGGTTGGTAAGATCCAAGCCTGGCATAGGTTTGTGGGCCTGTCTGATCAGTGGGCTCGGGAGCTAGGCTGTTCTGCAGACTGGGGTTTTCTGTACATCACAAATTCCTCCCAGACTCTTTGGGGAAATGATCATGCACGCAGCAACTGGACTGTGTGATCTTTGCCTTCAGCTCTCTTAAAGTAGGAAAGAAGTTGGAGTCTCAGTTTATCCTACTCTTTATCCTCAGTGCAGAGCTCTTTTAAGAAGCAGCATTTGTCATAGCTTTAGTACATCATTCAAGTCCTGGATATAAGGCAGGACCACAGGCAGTGAGCACAAACTGAAATACAGGAAAGTCAGTCTGAACATGGGGAGACACTTTTTTTTTTACTGTGAGGGTCACTGAATACAGGGACTGGTTACCCAGAGAGGCAATGGAGGCTCCATCTGTGAAGATCTTCTAAAGCCATCTGGACGTGGTGCTGGGCTCCAGGTGGCCCTTCTTCTCCAGGGTTGTTGGACCATATAACTCTAGAGATCCCTTCCCATTCTTGTCATTCTGTGGCCTCTAACCACAAGGTCTGTAGGCACTTCTCTGGTTCTTTGGAGTAGTTACACAAAAAGCAGCTGATGATTAGCATTCCTGCTTGCTATACTTCACTGTGGTTAGGCTCAGGCAGGTTGTCCTTTTGTGAGTTCTTAGATGAATGAACTGGTGGGTTATTTATCTCTGAGCTAGAGGGATGAGGCTAGAGATGAGCAGACTGTTTTAATCTCTGAAGCCTTTTGCAAATTAGGATGATTCATTAACTTTGTAGGTGTAATTTAGCCATTTAAACTTAAAGCCCTAACTTTTATTTTATCTTGTTGCTTAATGATACTTGTTTACTCATTCTAGAGCTAAATTCAAAGAGGAGACCTCTATGCAGTGTATACTCATTTTGCAGTGGTGCTCTTAGCAAGGGTAGAAGTATCCATGGAAATTGTTCAGCCAGTTGTCAGGGTACTGGCAGCTTAGTTGCTGATCATCTGAAGCTGTTGGTGAAATATTTTGACACACATAAGGCAAATATAAGCTACAGAACATACTGTTCCACAGCAATGACACTACCCATATATCTCCTTGGTAGAGATGCCAATGAGATATTAGCTGTGGGGTCACCACTGATGTTGGTGTCTCAGAAGTCTGCAGGTGATCATACAGGGAGTCATTACACAGTCATTGTTCTGAGATAAAAGCTCTCTTCGACTAAGTTGAAAGATATCATGCTGGCAAATTAGCCAAACAAAAGAGGTACATAAAATTGCAAGATGGAGTTTGCAGTGTCTGTTGTGTGTAAGTAACATCCTGTGGAAATAGCAGTTGGAAAAATGTTTGCTGCAGCAGCATTCTGCTTGTCAGGTGCTTGTGTTTCATTCACAGCAGATCTTTCTAGAGGAAGCATGAATGGGAATCCTGACTTTAGTAACATAGTTGATTTTTTGAGGTTATTTGCTCTAGATTTCTTGTTATTTCTGGTGGTAAAGCAAGGTCAGTTTGTGCTTCAGATGTGCAATTGAAAATTCCTCTTCTGGCAAATTAGACCTGTGGTGCTCAGCGGCAGATGTTGTCTGTGAGGGGCAAATACCTTCTTCTTTTCTCCTTTCTACTTTCTCCTTGCTGTTCCAAATGGATCATGAGAGGCTGGCTAACCCGGCAGTGGGCAGTGCTGTAACTGGCGATAGCCTTTCAGACTTCTTCCCTCCCCACAACAGAACAGTGGCACTGTTCAAGCTCCCAGTACAACTCCATGGGAGCAAGAAGTGTATAGGAGTGTGCAAATATTGTAGCTGTGGAGTAGAAACGAAGGACTTAAGTGTGTGAGGCAGTTAATGATACTTAACACCCCATACCCCGGTAAACCAGTACTAACAAGCTTTGTAAAGATGACCTGAAAGCTTTGTTTGGATGTTTTCTGCTCACCCACATGCTTATCTCTGAGTGTGACCAGGCACAGCTAGCAGCTACTCCCACAGTTTGCCTGTAGTGCTATTGGTGGGATCCAGGCAATGTCTAGGAGCCCCTCTGCTGGGGGTGGTTTCCTGATCCCAGCTGGAAGACTGCTTGAAGAATTTGTTCCTGCAAGTTAATTGCTAATTGTAAACACACTGAACAGTACAGCTTTGAAGTTCCGGAGCAGGCAATTCCATTATTTTCTGTAATTTCTTCAGCACCGAGTCTGTCTTTGTGCTTAGTTCATGGTTGGATTTCTTGACATCAGCAGGTATCAGATGAAGGAAGATTGCATTTGTTAGATGTTGGATTGCAGTTAACTGTAATTGTCATATCCTGCCAGTCCTCTCCCCTTTGCTGTTGAGTTCTGTGGTATGGGGGTCTCTGTGGAAATGGGATTAAATGTGGCTGTCTGGCACCGCTTTCTCTTGGACTGGTAAAGGCACTTTAATAAGTTGCTGGAAGTGCCTGTTTGAAACTTCTGGCACAGATAAATTTATCTACACAAACTCTAAGAGAAGTTCTGTTTCTATGCTGGTAAATTGGTTTTAGTTGGTTGAGGAAATACAATTGTAGAATAATTCAGGCTAGAGAGAGCTTTGGGAGATCATCTAGTCTAGCCTGGTGCTCAAAGCAGGATCACTGTTGTTATGAATGTATTTGTAAACTTTTACTTAACATCCTTTTCACATTCTTTCTTCTACTTGCTTAATCATCTCCATGCAAGCATGTATTTGGCAGTACCAACCCCAGATGAGCACACTGAGGTGAAGAATGAATGTGTACAGTTGGTGACTGAATTTCTTGCACAGAAATCTGCAAAAACACTTAATCTGCAGCCAGCAGTCACACCTGCCTGTTCATAAGAGTCTATCTATGTGAGCTGCAAAACGTTTCCATGGTCTAGAGAGTGTGTCAAGATTAAGTATTTAAATTCTCCACCTTCCAGGTGAAAGAGGCTAGAATGCAACTGCTAAATACTGTTTGCCTTGTTATTGATGTGAAATTGTTTAAAAAAATCTGTTCTGTAATCGAGGCTACAGTATCAAAGATAGATGGATTGTCTTTAAGATCTTTTTGAGGCAGGGGAAATGTCACCTTTGTAAGCACTTGGCAGTCTTCCATGTTAGCTCAAATACAATTTGAAGGTTAATGCTCTGCGTATGTCAGAAGTTCCTGTTTTCTGTGTATCATTCCTGTTGTCCTCTTTCTCTGTAGCTCAATGTTTATAATTCTTAAGGTAATAAGCTAGCTTTTAGCACATGACCAGAATACAGTTAGTATAACTATTTTATGTAGATTTACCTAGAGTTTAAGTTACTTACCAGATTCAGGGAAAGCAAAGTGTCTGAAGTGACATAGACATCAGTGTAGCATACTTGTTTGCATATATGTGGAGGCCTTAAAAGGTCTGTGATTCTTGACTGCTGTGGCAGTGTAACTCATTAAATGAACTTATCAATGTAAGCTGGGAATGTATATAGAGATGTAATGAATAGAGTGCTTATAAAAGTATATAAAATACATGCTTTCTTATAGCTTCTACTTGTATTACTCAAGAGCACTACTTACTGTAGTGATTAACTTCTACAAAATCAATTTATGTCTTGCAGCTTGCCTTGAAGGGATCCAACTATGCTGGTCTGCTGGAGCGGCATCGCATTCATACACAAAATGTGGAGCATGTTGTAGACAGTTTACGGTAAGACTATGGATGTTGAGAATTTCAGACACAGTGCAAATATCCACGGATTGTGCAAAACAACGAAAGGAAGCTTTGTGTTACAAACTCTAATAAAATAGGAATATTGAAAACAGGATGATGCAGATAAACAGTCATTCCTGAAACAATTGTAATGTGAACTAGCTCAGCTCAGTTAGCTAACACATTGCGTTTTTATCTTGAAAACAAATGAGAGATGCAGAGGATTTGTGTGTGTCGTATGTTTATCCGCCAAATACCACTGGAATTAGTCCTTAATTATGTGTCAGTTTTTCAGAACGATGTGACAAGGAACAATATAGGACACATTCAGGCTTTTTCTGCACTTTATAGGAACGAGAGGATAGAAGTTCGTCTTGTTAAACGTCGAGAATATAATGAAGAAACAGTTCGGTGGGCAGATGCTGTTATATCAGCAGGAGGTATGACTTTATGGAAGGGAAGTATTTATTTCAGTATGTTTTCATAGATACATTTTTCAAAAATATTTTGCAACGTGTGAAGTGTCTGGAGGTCTGCACATTTTGAAAAGAATTTGCTTATCTAATTGTCAGAAAATATGACAAAATGCAATGGTTGTGACCATCCTTTCTACCTCTAGTATTTAAAATTGTAGCAGTAGGAAGTGAATCCCAGTACGTGGCCACATTGGACATGTTTAATTGTCTTGTGTAAAACAGTATAACTGTGGAATTTACTATAGTTTTCATCTAAGGAGGATAAAATGCTTGATGTCATGTGATTATACATAGCCCTAAACCATACTCTTTGGATTTTGATATGTGAGGTGGAGACTAACATACTACCTTTTCCTCCCCTTGCTCAAACTGTCTTTCTTGCTTTCACGTGTAATTCCAGTGACTGGAGTATCTAGTTAAAAGTATGCAACTTCTGAGCAGCCTGTGCCACTATTAGAGCTTTTTAAATGAACCAACAGAGCAACTAACCTGATTGCTTGAATGTTCATTTAGTGTTATTTTTGTGCATTGCTGCAAACACTGAAGTGTGTTGCTGGGATCTGACGTAATGTTCAATCATCTGTGGCAGTTAGACTTGATGACTGCTCTGCCTTTCTCTCTTCCCCACTGGTCCACTTTGCTCTTGGCTACTGGTTACCAGGCAGAATGGGTAGAAAGGGATATGTGTACATTCCTGAAGTATCCTAATATACTCCTACATTTCAAAGAACTCCTCTAAGCTGGAGGTTAAAGTGTCGGTTTGGCTGTGGCAACATTTGTCATGGTTATGAGGCAAGCAACTGGGAAGTGATATATCATCTGGGGTTTTCAGAGCTTATATCTTGATGCAAAGACTAGTTCAGGTTATAGTTGTCCTGTTTGACAGACAGGAAATAATATCAGTATCTGAAGAAACCAGTGACACTTAAAGACTTCTACTTCAACAGTTTTATCTAAGACTTCTTTTCCAAGTATGCCTATTTGGGGTCAAATATGTCCTTTAAGTTGTGCCTTCTAGGAGAGCAGCTGAGATGGAACTAAAGTCATTGTTTTCATGTGATTCACAGTAAAACTTGGTGGTGTTTTTTGTCTTCCCTGGCCTCTATTAGTGATACTTTCTAAGTTTATTTTCCTAAATAATTTCTCTTACCAGCTGATATACAGAAATTTCCATAAATCTATTTTCAGACTTGCTTCTGCCAAATTCAGTTACCTGGGCCTGTATAGCTGTCAGATAAGTCATACTTTTTTCAGTCACATTTGCCATCTTGGATTCACTTGTCGCTACCGTGCTTTGAAAGGTGTCAGTTGTTTTGTGGTCCCATTTTATTTTTGTTCAGCTTACCTGATCTGTTGTTGATACAAAAGCACGTAGTGATAATGCTGCAGTACATGTGAGGCTATTTTGTTTGGGATATTAGAATGTGAAGTGAAACTAACGTTTTTCCTTTTCTGTAGGTGATGGGACAATGTTGTTGGCAGCCAGTAAGGTCTTTGATAAATTTAAACCAGTTATTGGAGTAAATACTGATCCTGAAAGGTAAAAACACATTTGTGAAAGCAATGCTTTATTTAGTATCAGGCACAATACGCATCTGTTTTCACGATGCATGAGGTATGCCTGTAGCATTGGCAGTGTCTGTTTTAGTGGATTGTAGATATACCAAGAGAACCTGTTGTTTTATTAGAAAAGTTTCCACAGTGAGTTATCCTGTCTGATCTGAGAGGACATTAAGTAGTATTGGATAAGCATGACTGTATTAAACTGCCACAGCTGTTTTCACACACCAGTGTAACAGCACTTGCAGCTAGTTAACTTGTATTACTAACCAGAAGTGTGAGGCTAGAGATGGCAGTATAGAACAGAGACAGGGAAAGAGACTTAACAAAAGCAACTAAGTGTGCCTGAACACACAGAAACTTGTTTTCCTTATGGAGAAGGCAAATCCTACTGGAAATCTGATAGGGCCTCAGATGAAGGATTTTGTTATGGTTTCTTCATGTAAGCCATGTCATACCTCAGAGGACGCAGTCTTCTGCTACTTAATGGCATTTAGTTGTCCTATTATAAACTCCACACAAGCTGCATCCACCTAGCCATAAGATTGATTTGGGCAGGTGGATGCAGTTTTTAAGTACTGCCTGGTTGGTATAACTTTCAAAAGGATGTCAAGTAAAATTCAGAATTCACCAAGGAGCTGTCTGCTGAGATTTCCAGATTTCGGTTTCTGCTTTTGATATTACCATTTAATTTAATCTTAGTAGATAAGAAAGTGGTGGCCAAAAGTTTTAATTCCTTCCATACCTTACTCTTCTTCCAAAACTTTTCAAATGCTGTGAATAGATATTCTACAGCCTCAATAGTGAGGTTCAAATAACAAGTGCCTTCAAGTTATCAAATGTCACTCATGAAAGGGGAGCAGTGTTTGGTCTTCTGGCTTTGACATGAGGTTCTTTTGATCTGAGGCATGTTGCTTACCTGTCTCGTATCACTTGTGTGTAAATGGAGGAAATTTTCTTTCTAATTTGCAAAGTTTATTAAGCTTGAATTCCTTGCCTAGAACTATGGTGATAGGAACTACATTAGTACCTATTTATTCCTGCAGGATTACAAGCTGAACAGCCAGCTTTTAGGGGAAACATGAGAGAAGCATCCTATGTCTCACACAGACATGCCAGGAGCTGAAAGAGATGTATTGTTGCTGATGTGCTATTATGTAAGGATAGCATAGTTTCATAAAGGTCGAAGTGTAGCTTTGTTTTATGTAACAGAAAGATATGTTTGTTTTTGTTTTTTAAAGAGACCAAATCTTAGTAGTTATAGTGTTATTTTCATTGTCCTTTTCTGCTACCAGATCAGAGGGTCACTTATGCTTGCCTGTGAGATATACACACTCATTTCCTGAAGCACTACAGAAGCTTTATCGTGGTGAGTTCAGGTAGGATTCATTAATCTTCGGTTTTCCAAAACATATTATGATTGGAAAATACTTAATGATGTGCAATTCCAAAGATGCAGATGTTGCTTAGTAAAATATTAATGCCTCAAATTGCAAATTCTGTGTAGATGTTCACCATGTTGAAAAATGCGCTTGTGAATGTGTGAGCTGGCACAGGCAGAATGCAGGAACAACCACAAAACCACAGAAGAAATGCAGAGAAAATTATTCCCATTATCTCATGACCCAGGGGATCTCCACAGCAGCACCCAGGCAGAGGCATGCAGGTGGGGATGCAGGCACCGCGGAGCTCAGTCCTTGCTAGCCAGAAAGAAGAGAAGAAAGAACATCTCAGACCTGCTGCTTTTGCCTCTGTATATCAGGGATTTTTGCAGCTGTAGTTTTTGACCGTGCCCACAGCTGGGCAGGAATCTCAAGGGTGTTTGATAAGATGCCTCTGAGTCTATCACAGGCCTGTGTTATCTGAATGCAGACATTCTACCTATCAAGCACACAAAGCTAAACAACAATTAGTATGATTATGGTTTTTTTTTGACACCCCAGCTGCAAGTCCCTTGAGTGTGTTTACAATCCTCCTTGCCAAGCTTCTGTTATATTCCCACAGTGGTCAAGAGCAAGATTGGAGTATGAAGGATAAAACTGACTGCCAGTTCCAGCAAAAAAACATTGAATAATTGATACCTTGAATGCTTGATTTTCTTTTCTGATTAGCAAATTTTTGAATGAGGAACTACATTCTTGTAAAGGGTTTATTTTAACACTCAAAAGCATATGTAATACAGTGGTGGGCCATACTAACAGAAGCTGATGAAGCCTGTGCAGTTAGGAAATGGTGGGTGTATTGCATGTCAGGTTTTGATGATTAAGGTAGAGTGGCTTAAATTTTGGTAACAGATTAGTGTAAGGCAAAGTTTTTCTTTATGCAGAAGATAGTTTGATGTTTTCAATACTAAATATTCTTGAAATAGAAGAAAATCACTTGAATTAAGAAGGAAGCAAGCTGAATTTTATAGGGCAGACTGGGGAAGAGTTTTCTAATAACTATTTTAAGAGACATTGGTCTGCGGCTTATTAACATTCCAGAATACTTTTGTCATGCCAAACCACCAAACATAAATAAGTCACTCACGTGAGAATATATTGCAATTGGGTTTTGTTTATGCTTCTAGCATATTTAGTTTGTAGCTTGAAGTGTAACTGTGCGATAGAAAAGCTCTGAGTTGAGGTGAATGCAGTCATCAGGATTGATTATAAATAAATGAAGGGGTTTCAGTAGGTATTGCTAAATGAAAAGGTACTTTAAACTCACATATTCTGACACTTATAAAATGGAAGCTTTTAATCGTGCTGAGTTGCTTAGGTAAAGCTGGTAGTGCTAATGCATGCAACCTCTCTCGATAATCGATATGCTTCTAGTGTTTTGTTGGATAATGTTATATCTTTGTTACTGACACTCCTCTTGTTGCTCATTATGAAGCTGAAGCCTCACCGGAGTGAAACAGAAAGGATTTTTGTTGTGGTTTGAGCCCAGAGGGGAACTGAGCACCACACAGCGGTTCATTCACTCCTTCCCCCATCAGGGCTGGGAAGGAGAATGTGAGTCAAAGAATCCATCTAAGGAGAAGTAACTCTCATTGTGGCCACAGGCAAAAGACAGACTTGTTAGGGGGAGAAAAGAAAACATCACTTTAATTCAAACGCTAACAAAAGCAACACTTAACAGACAGGGTAGGACAGAGAGAAGCACCACCACATCCAAAACACACCTCCCCCCACCCCTCCCTTCTCCCCGGGCTCAGCTCTGCTCCCCATCTCTCTCCCTCCTCCCCCAGCGGCGCAGGGGGCAGGGGATGGGGGTTACAGTCAGCTCATGCTCCTTCCTTCTTGGGAGGTGGGGGGAACACCACACATCCCTCCCCTGCTCCCCGGGGCTCCCCTCTCACTGCAGACAGTCCTCCACAAACCTTCTACACAGTGAGTCCTCCCCATGGGATTCAGCCGTTCCCATGCTGATCCAGTGTGGGTCACCCCCACATGTTGCAGTTCTCCCAGTACTGAACCACACCAACGGGGGCTGCTTCTCCCCTCAGAGTCCTGGCTTCCTTTAAGTGCAGCCACCTGTCCTGGCGTGGGCTCCTCCACAGGCTTCAGGTCAGCCTTTGCTTCACTGTGGACCTCCATGGGTGGCAGGGTGGGCAGCCTTGCCATCTCACCACAGGATACAGGGGGTCTCTGCTCCACCATCTCCCCTTCTTTCTCCTTCCTTCCACTGACTTCAGTGTTTGTCCTTCTCGTAATTCCTCCTTGCAAATCCCAACCACCTCTCAGGTTCCCCTTCTTTAAATACGTTATCACAGAGGCACAGCCACCATCGCTAATTGGCTCGGCCCTGGTGAAGGTGGGTCCGAGTTGGAGCCAGGGCAGCTTTCAAGAAGCTTTGCATGGGGCCACCACTGTAGCTCCCTCCCCCACTTCCAAAAAGCCCACCATGGAAACCCAGCACAATCTCCCTGGTTATATTTCCAGAATAATAGGAACTGATATTCCTAAGCAAGGACCAGAGCGGGTGTTTCACTTGGCAGCTCTCAGATGTATTTGGCCCTAAGGAGACTTTAAAATAGGTGGGTAACTGGATCAGCCTGTCTGGAAGAGCTTCTGGTGTCTCAGAGTTGCATAAGGATCGTGAGGTGCCAGAGACTGGAAAAGGGGGATTGTCTTTTCTCCTTATCCTTGAAGTGTTAGTCAGTGCAAAGTCTGTGTAAGCACTTACTTGTAGTCCCACGAAACAACCAACATTATTGCTTTGTAAAGGACAAACTGTATCAGACTACCCATGTTTCTTTTTCTGGTGGTCAGTGGTGTAACAGGATCTCAGAATAGGGGTATAATAGTGGTACAGTCCCATCTTTTAATTTTGTAGGAGTTTTGACATGTTCTAGCATGAGTATTGTAAGAAATCTAGCATAATGATACTTAGTGCATGCTATCTGCCTGACTACCTAAAAACATACTTGGAATTTAAGGGCAGATAGGTAGTTACAAGCAGAAAGTGTTGAATGAAGCTCTACAAGGATGACAATGAAAAAAACCTAGTGATATGGTCGTATAAATCACAAGTCTTCCTTGCTGTAGTTTCAGGAAACATACACTGGTTATTGTTGCCTGAATATCAACAGTATGAACTGGGAAAAGATGTGCTTATAATTCCCTTGTGATTTGCTTGCTTAATGAAATCTACTATTGCTATTTTGTTTTAAATGATCTCTAAATTGTAAGACGACAAAAGAATTTATATGTCCTCTAGTAAAAAATCTGAATGTTGTAATAGCTTAGGAATAATGCCTTTTATATCCTTCTCTTTCTTCATTTGAATTCATCTTGAGCATCCTAAAGTTCCTAGGCTAGGAGAGGTTCTTAAAATGAGAGGATACTTGTGACCCTTATGTACAAAGGAGTGGACAGAGCTACTCTTCTGGACATCTACAAATACAAACAAAAGATGGTAAAAATACAGAATGTATTGCTGTATAAATTCCTGAGAGCTTGTTGTTCTCAAAATCATTGCATCAGTTGTGAATTTGTTAGTTAGGACCACATGCCTAAAAAGGCGAGTTGCTACCTATAATATTCATGGACTACTTCTGGCCCGTGTCTTCTCATTTTACGCATACAAAAAACATTAGTTAGCAAATTAGTAAGTGTAAAGTATTTACATTTTAGTATTGTTAGCTTTCTAAATTTAGAAATTATAGTGAAAGCTATAAAACTTGAAATGTGACTTTGAATATATTTAACTTTTAATCTTAAAATGCTCTGCTTTGAGTGAAGACTCTCTGATCCTGTCTGATTTTATAGTTAGTATTTCAGTTACTAATACCAACTTCTTTCTCCTCTCTAAGGTGGCAGTGGCGACAAAGAATCCGACTATACCTTGAAGGAACTGGTATTAACCCAACCCCTGTAGATTTACATGAACAGCAGCTGAGCCAAGAGCAGCACAGCAGGGCTCACATAAATGAAAGATTCCAGGATCAAAGTAGGTTAAAATCTGAAAAGGATATAATCACTTTGCTACGATAGCTTGGAATAGGAGATGAAGATTTATAAGAATTGAAGTATTTGAAGCCTGGTTGCTGTATTTGAGAGTCAGCTCTCATTAGCTGAAGACTCAGATTAAGGTTTTTTAGAAGGGAGTATTTTTTGTTTCTATATGTTTATTATTACACTTAGAACTGGTTTTCAGTAATAACAGTTAATTTAGGGATGATTTAAAATAGTATTACCTGCTGTCAAAATACTTGAGCATTTTAAAGTGCTGTCTCTATAAGGTTACTACAGACGTGAAAATTTTACCATGTGTTTAGCTGCTCCACACTAAAAGTGCATATGTGTGTGTATGCATGCGCTCTTAGCTTGTGCTAAATTTGACGTAGGTTGCTTCACACTTAAAAAAATCTGATCACAGACTGCCAACAAGCCAAAAAAAATAGTAGCAAGAATGTCTCTCTGCATAATTCTTAGGTCATTAGACACCTTCAACTGTTTATGATGGATTGAAGATGTGTGATTCTACCCTTAACCTGTGTCTAACACTGCATTTCCTCACTGAGAAGTCCTTATTCAACATGGACAATTTGTTAATCCCCTTTAATCACCCTGTGGTATAAAGTCTAATTCTTGAACTTTATCAGAAATGTTTGTTAAGTCACGGTCAGTGAATTTAACTAGGCTGGAAGACTGACAGAAGAGAAGACTTCAATCTGTCTGGTTGCCCATGAGTTTTCAGGAAAAGCAATGTCTGAATGTAAGTGTCATTGCCTTATTGACCTTGGTTCAAATATTTATAGTCTCCAGTAAAGGACAGTGACTGACTACAGACGTAAGTTAGTGAGAAATTGAGCCCTTGAAGAAAATGGAACACTAGAACACAAACCCAGGGAGCAGAGTGTGTCCTCCAATGAGTTGTGAATTGTTTTTGAAAATTTGGGTTTTAGAGCCATGGTTCAAACTGTTATATTCAATATCTGCAGGATCTGACATTTCTGGTCCACATCTTTTACCAGTGAGAGCACTCAATGAAGTCTTCATTGGGGAATCTCTTTCATCCAGGTATGTTTAATTGTTTGTTGCTGCAGCAGGGCACAATTGACTGCTCATGACATTGCAATGGACAATCAGTGATGGGATGTCTTTGCTGTCAAATTCTGTTTTATCTGTGAATATATAACATTGATTGTATTGTTGCTGATTACAAAGTGTATTTTCAAAGATGTAAGTGCAGTGATGTTAATTTCTGTTTTTCCACTCTCCTGTCTGGCCATTCTTTCATCTTTCATTATTCTTGGCTGTTTTCTTTCCTCTTCATTGTTTTACTGCTTTCCTGGTTAGTTCTTATGTAACCAGACACCTTCAGTTACTACTTTACAGTACATTGAAGATTTAAATATCAGTCCTTAAACTGCCTCCTCTCTTGCATCTCTTCTTAAATATCTTTCCATGAGTTCTTAGCATGACCAAGCAGAAACAGATTTTGACATGACCAAGTACTCCTTTCCCTTCCTCTCTGTCATTAGAGGCAAAGGTATCAGCCTCCCTTTGGCAGAAGCTTTGTTATCGTGGGAAAACACTTACTTCCTTGTTTTAAGAAACAAGTTTGTATCAAATCCTGGTAATGCATTATCCAGGATACCTCTGGCTGTCCTTCCTGTCCTGAAGATCAGTGCATTTCTGCCAGCCAAATGATAACAAGGATGTGGGGAATGTGATTTGGGCTGTGGAGAAGGAGTTAAAACATGATCCTTGGTCAGGATTTGGCCAAACTTTTACTTGTATTTTATATCCCTTTTCTCTTTATTCTGTACTTTTTTTTTTTTTTTAAAAAAAAAAAAAAGCTTTAGAGTGTAACATTTTCTTGTGTTTGTACAGTGCCTGGGACACTGTGATTGCTGCTGGAAACACTATAAATGTTCCATGAGTGCTTTATCTTCCATCTGGACTGCAGCCTCAGACTGGAAGAAGGAATTAGTCTCAAAGAGATACAAACTATATCAAACATAATTTTATCAAGATTCTAAAAAGTTTCTTTAACGTACAGTGATAGAAGAACACAAAGCTGCTTTCCAACACTTTACAGTAGCCCCCTACTTCTAAGTGTAACAAATACATTGTGCTCTTTGGTTCCAGTATTTCAGAAGCGTTGAGGAACAAAAAGCCTGTAGGAACAAATCTCTAGTAATAAATAATGTGTTAATAGGACTTCGCACTTGAAGACTTGAATAATGATGTCACACAGGTGAATCTTCTGTAAGGTTCAAATACATGTCTGCTGTATATTAAGACAAAATGACTCTAGGTGCTTCTTCCAAGGGGTTATTCTGCATGTCAGTTAAGAAAACAAGGAAATTGAAGGAAAAAAAGAAAACTTTCATACCCATCTTGCAAAGATTATCTTAAACTGAATCAAGCTGTGCACCTGTGTTCCTAATTTACTTCCAGTTCTTTCATATTCCCATCTTCTCAAGAGTGAGTACACAAAATGCCGTTGTTACTAAGAGTCTAACCTGTTTGACACCAAATATTCAGGAGGTGTACTCCTAGTTGATCCAGACTGAAAAATTTATCACCTAAACAGCTCAGTAAGTTTCTTTTACTAAGAAAGTTGAAACTCGGTCATGCTGAACACAGCATAACAGATACTTTCTTGTCTAAGAAGGTATCTGTTAATCTGAAGACTATATTATACTGTTTGATTGAGGCACTATGAGCATTGACAACTTTAGTTCATAAATATACCCCTGGATGTTCTGAAGCTTACAGAGAGAGATTGTCTGGCCTTTCTAGGCCTAACATTAAAAATCCTCTGATGTATGAATAATAACATGCAGAATTATGATTGTACCCCAAGACTACTACATTTGAGCTTTAGGAAGAATTTCCCCTGGAGAGAAATATTAAGCCTGCTGTTTGTTGTAAAATTAAAACTGTTTGTGAAGAATCACAGTGGATTTTTAATTAATCACAGTAATCAAGAATTCAGCTTGAAGCCATACTATTACGTTGGAGTGTTTTACCTCTTACTGTCCCCTGATGTAATTTTATGTCTCAGTCACAGCATAAACACAATTCTTTGGTAGTTCAACAGTAATGCAAGGAAGGTAATGTAGTTGTAGTTTCATTTGTAAGTCCAGCAAACCCTACTTGAATATGAAGCTGTTCTCAGATGAACCATGAATTCTTTGTGCATAAATTAATATGAAAAGTGGCTGCAGAAAAACAGCCTGAAAGTTCATATTGCAAATCACTTTTGTTCATTATAAAAACTGCCATAAAACAGTGAATCAAAAGTGGCTGTCAAATTGGAAACACTGTGCAAAGTCTGTGAAATTGTCATCCAGATTTGAAACTAATCCCTCTAAATTTTTATGTGCCTGATAAGGCTGTGTGTTCTGTCTTATTCAGGGAGAACTTTAAGTCCTGCAAACCCAGTTTTAAATTCTCGCTTCATAGGGCTTCCTATTATGAGATATCAGTTGATGATGGTCCTTGGGAAAAACAGAAGAGTTCAGGGCTTAATGTGTGTACTGGAACAGGATCAAAAGCATGGTAAGTACATACTGCTGCTTTGATATAAAATATCATTTCAGATAAGCCTATTTTCCTTAAGCATTTTGTCCATACTGAGACTCTTCTGTGCTATGGGTAACTCACTGCACATCAGCTTTGTCCAAATATTCTCACTGTCAGTATGGTTCAAAGCTGTTTCAGGTGTATAAGGAAAGCAGAGCACCCCTCACTTGTAGCTATGGAGAGAAGACTTGAAAGGGTGAGGAGCTGAGACACTGAGGCAAAAGCTTACCTTAGGTGTAATTTTGGTGAAAGAAGTTGCATCCCGCACATAGAGATGAATGGTTGGGGGTGGCAAGGGAAAGAGATTTTGCTCTGAGTTGCAGAGCATATTGGGGGGATCTCTGAACTACTCTTGGCTAAAATTAAAATGCTTAAATAAAGTAGCTCAGAAAACTTATAAAAATCTAAGATTTAAGAAGAATGGGAAAACATGCACTTGGAAACAGTGTTAAGTGTTCTCTGGCACATCTACTGTCCATCTTCCTTCCAAGCCTCTTGCTTTTTTCAGGCTTAATTGAAAGGACACAGCCTCTTTGCCAAAACATTCCCCTTTAACAAAGATGGGTGTATCTTAGCAGAGCTGTGCTAGCTTAATCAAAGGGGTAAATTATCTTCACTTCAGCTTAAACAAGCTGCAGTACTGTGTGTAAGTCAAATAAATTTAGTTTTGAAATGTGAGAGACATATATAGTGAGAGCCTCTTTCATTTGGAAATCTGACTGTAGTTTAAAGTTGTACAACAGGCCCTAGGTTTGTGTGGCAGGAAAAGATGAACTAGAACTGAAGCTTCTAATGAAATTCGAAAATGAATATTCACACTGTAACCGCGGTTACTGGGTTTTACTCTTCATTGTAATTGAGAATTTTGTATTCAGTCAGCATAACTTAGTACAGGAGGCTGCCAAGGATTAAACTGGCAGACTGCTAGACGAACTTTCTTAGTGTTCTGTACTTTAGGAATGTACCGTCTTAGTTCAGAGCTCTTCTTATGCATTTTGCTTGCTTATACACTGTACTGAGCAATCCCAGAACCAGGGAAGGGATCAAACTCCAGGATTGCTCATCTCCATTTCTGTAATCGATGTGTACTGTTGGACTTCGAAACTGAAGCCAAGCCTCAGTGGAGTGGTCTTCTCTAGCCTGTGGTTCATAGGCTGCTGGGATTTCAGACCTCCTCAGACTGAGAAGCATTTAAACATACAAATGCTTCCTTCAGCTGCCAAAACTTGCATAAAACAGTATCTAGTTGAGAGAGAGAGAACCATTTCAAACTGTGCATCTCAGTTTCTTGTTAGCATCTGATCAGGCTTGCAGGTAGGCAATAAGTGTAATAGGAGCCTTGGACAACCACCTTCATCAGCTCTGTAGCATGTTAGATGTATCGTGGATGTCTATTGCAGTCTGAAGTGTTTTACTGCCATGACAGAAGTGCTGGACTGAGGACTTTAACCTGTATTGAGACCTGGGCAACTGAGATGTTCACAGTACTGCTGCACAGAGGCTGTGATTAGTACTAATCCCTTTTGAGCCTGAGAGAGAGACTTTACTGGAGTTTAAACTTGGTTCAGACTGAGATTTTATGCTGACTTGTTTGGCATCCAAATGTGGCAAATGCAAAAGTGTCTGATCTGACTGTTCCTGTTCTGCATACACCGATTCTTGTGAGATTCAAGCCCACCCCTTAGGGTACAGGCAAAGAGGCATAATATTTGTAAAGAAGTGTTTGGTCCTGTAAATTAGAACTAACAAGGAATTAATTAGCAAGAGGTAGTTAGAAAGGGTAAGAACATACACAATCTGTAGAACTCATGCTTCAGTTTTTTAAATGCAGACCTGAATCAGCAATTATTGTAGTTTTAAGGCAAGAGGATTACTGATAAGTAGACTACATCATGTGTATCATATTCTTCTTTCCTGAAGACTTCACTTAATGGATTATTAAGGTTTACACGGCCACAGGTAGATGTCAAAGAAAGAGTTAATTTAAGGCATTTTTTGGAAGAAACTGGTGTCAGCTCACATTTTTTAGATTTTTTTTCTTCCTGTTGTTGATCATAGTTCTTCATCTGTATGCAAGACTTTGTTTTATTTTTGTTTTGTTTTTTCCCCAAGTTTTATTGCTTAGCAAACAAGACTTCTACTTCTCTGTCTAGGTCCTATAATATTAACAAGGTAGCACATCAAGCTGTTGAAGAGATCCTTAAGATTGGTGAGTGAACAGTGTGGTATTACTGGCCAAGTTTACATAAAGATACACCTATCTAATTGGGACTCTTTCTTGACTCAACAGCTAAAAAGCATGGAGGTTTGAATATGCCATTGAATGCGGAACTAGTGCAAAAAGGTTAGTGAAAAAGGCAAGATTTCTTTAAGGTATCTTAACTTTGACCAGTTCATTTTGTTTGTACTCTTAATACTTAACACTGCGGTCAGTATTTTAGCACTCTTGAAAGATTAGTCTTTCTTATAAACATTATTTAGGCACATTTGGTGAAAAGTGTCTCACTTGATATGAAGGTACTTACTTAGACTTTCATATGTATAGATCTTCAGGAGAATTTCAGTTCTCCTAAGATTTGAGACAATCACCTGAAGAGAGCTGTTGAGTGTTCATTGTGCAATAGAACTGAAAAGAGTCTTCTGTAAAATGAATTTTTTTTGCAGGTGAAGGCTACTAAACATCTGGCAAAACTCAATATTCCCTCCTGGTAGGGAAGGTGCTTTTTCCTGGAGGAATGTGTGTTTCTGAGAATAACTAGTTTTCTTCTGTAAAAACTAATGGCTGATTTCTCCATTTACAGTAACAAATGATTACAATGAGTCCCTGCTCTACAGTCCAGAAGAACCAAAGATGTTTTTCAGTATTCGAGAACCTATTGTGAACAGAGTTTTCTCAAGTAGCCGGCAGCGTGGTTTCTCTTCAAAGTAAGTGTTGGCTGTAGCAGTCACTTAAGAGTTATTTCTTTCTGTGTATTTGTCAAAATATGAGTAATCCAGGAGTTTCCCTTGAGGTGTTTCAACATCCAGTTTGTGTTTTTGAGGGACTTGAGTATTTTTCTCAGAACAATGGGAAGAAAATGTTTCCAAGTAGTGTTGTGCCTTTTTAATGTTTAATCCATGCACAATCTTACGGAATAGATATTCATCACTGTGCCCAGTTTTGGGTATGTGCCATTTCAGTATGAGATACAGGCATTGACAAACTGGAATGAATTCAGGAAAGGGCCACTGAGATGATTGGGGGACCAAAACACATCGTGTCTGAAGGAGTTAGTCAAACCATGCTTTTGTTTAGCCTGGAGGAGACAAGACTAAGCAGGGTGGATCCAGTTGCTGTCTTCAGCTGCCAGTGGGTGTTTACAGAGGAGACTGAGTTAAACTATTCTCAAAGCAGAATATGAGGCAACAGCCATGATTTTATGGGATGTAAGATTCTGATAAAAAAAGGAAAAAACTTCTGCAGTGAGAATGGTTAGGTAGTAGAACATGTTGCCCAGAGATTGTACTATCACTATCCTTGGAGATACTCAAAACTTGACTGGGCAAGGCCCTAAGCAACCTAATCTGTCTTTGAAGTAAGGCCTGTTTTGAGTAGAAGATTGGACTAGATGCCCTTCCAAACTAAATTATTTGCTAATTCAGTCATTATAGGGCACTTGCACCAGCTGAGGTTTAGATTAGATATTAGGAAAAATTTCTTCACTGAAAAGGTTATTAAGCACTGGAACAGTCTGCCCAGGGAAGTGGACAAGTCACTATCACTGGAAGTATGCATGTGGTGCTTAGAAACATAGTTTAGTGGTGGACTTGGCAGTGTTAGGTTAATGGTTGGGTTTGATCTTAAAGGTCTTTTCCAACTTAAAAGATTCTATGATTCCATGATTTTTCTGGAGCTTGCCACAATTAAATATAAACACATGCAACTGTTAGTTATATGTTCAGGATAAACTATGTTGAGAACAGTGCAATATCTCAGTATTAATTAAATATTAATTCAACCTTTTATGTCAAAACAAATGTCTAAAGGAGCTCTGACTCGAAGGAGACCCAAATTCTGCCTCTTTTGAGCCACATCATTATAACAACAGTTTATGACCTGATAATAAAGGACATCTCTGGCTACTGGGACAAAATATTACAATATTAGATGCTTACTGTGTATGTGTCATGTCTTTAAATGTTTACTGTTCTTAGTTATTTGGATCTGGGAGTTCTCAAGGGTGGTCTTACAGGATGATAATAGGAGAGGTTAAAATAAGAGCAAATAACTGAATGTTCATCCATGGGTTCTCAAGGACTAAGTTTTATCTTATTTGGAGTCCTCAGCATGGGATATAACTGTAAAAATTATACTGGAGTTACAAATGTCTGAATACAAATAAGGGATACCTGTCCATTTTTCTTTTTATAGTAGAATTTGATGCCTGTAATAGTTGATCTTTAGCTGTTCATACTAGACATCTATTGCTGTTCTTTATGTGTTTTGACATAGTAGCTGCCCAGAGTGAAATGGAGGAGTGGAACAAGGCTCCATGTTCTTCTGCAGTGTCCGGTCTTGGCTGTGTTTTAGTGATACACAGACCAATTAAGCTTTGACACCGTGGCTGTGCTTTCAAGTGTTTCATATGTGTGAAAGATGTGTCTTCCTGAGTATTAAGTCACTGGAGAATTGATTAAATTTTGGAGATCAGAACATGGTCTAGACCAAGACATAAGTCAGAAACAATCAAGCACATCATGTGAGCCTGCAGTCTTGCAGCTGCTCTGGCATAATTATTGGTTCCCATCTAGCAATGTGAAAAAAGTTTGGAGACCTTCAACTTTGTGTTTGAAATTACTGTCCCTTCCGTCTGTGAATGATTCATATAAGAAAACAGACTATATAAATATCCAAATTATGTGAATCTCAAGCATTGCTAGCTGAAACTGCATATTCTACTTAACATGAAGACTACATATTAGAATCACAAATTAATTGAAAACCTTTCTGTGAAAGATTAAATCACTATTAGATGGGATCATCTGTAGCTTTCTTTAAAAAATACACCTAAACTGCAGCTTTTCATATCAAGTGTTATGTTATAGGCTGTTCTCAGACTCGTGGAGCAATAGTGTCCATTTGAACAAGTCCTTCAGTCCTCTCTGGACTGTTTGCTAAGTCTATACAAAGTTCCGACAGGTTGGGGGATTCTAGTGCTTAGTACCATGCTAAATTCTTCTCTAAGTATGCTCCAGTGTGATTAAGCTTTTACTGACCCACGTAAAGGCATATCCAAGAACCAGTCTTATTGTTTAGAGAAGTGCTTAATTTCTTTAAGCTATTTTGTGAAAACTTATTTTTGTGTTTTTCAGAGTCTGTGTCCGTTCCCGTTGTTGGGATGCATGTATGGTTGTAGATGGAGGAACATCTTTTGAGTTCAATGATGGAGCGATAGCTTCCATAATGATTGATAAAGAGGATGCACTGTGCACTGTTCTGCTGGAAGAATGAAGGACCCTAGTGTCTTCTGCTGAAACAATACTGGATCCAGAGAGGGAACTCCTGGAGATAGACAGCACATCACAATGCTGCATTATGTTGGAAGTTGGCCTTTTTGGATGCAAGAGCATGTAGAGGAAGCTTGAGATGCTTTTCATTCCTTTGGGTTGGGGAAACCATTACCTGATACTGAAGGTCTTTTTGCATCTGGTGTAAAAGAAATATATCTGAAGCCTTACCTCTAACTTCAGTGAAAATTGACATTTTAACCTATAAGGCAAACATAAAAGAACATCTTTTTCAACATGATGTTGAATGGGTTCAAGCATTAAGTCAGTAGCATTAAATATTCAGATGTACAGTTTTTTACTAGCAGTCTGGGACTGATGAAACTAAACACCTTCATACGTATACTTTTGTAGAAAATTGACTGTCAATGTAACAATTTGATGCAAGGATATATAGATTTTGGTAAATCCTGATGTTGACATAATAGAAATAGAATTACACACCTTTTGTATGCTTCTCAAAAATTTTACAACTTTGTAGTTTCATACAACTTGTGACAATTTTTTTTTTGCTCTTTCAGTATTTTTTCTACTTTGTAGATTTACATCAGAAGTAAAAGTCCGGTTTAATCACATCTTGAATGAGTTAGCTCTTGCATTTCTCTTTGGATAGAGAGGGACTTGAAACCCAAGGGTTTTCTTGAGCCCTTTGATAGGCATATATAAATTAAAGGAAATGTGTTGAAGGAAGATATACTCCTTCACCAAATGGATTAGCTAGCTAGCAGGTGTTCAGTCACAGTAGTGTATGTAGGTGGCTATCATTAAGAAATATTAAGTTAAATGGTTTGGAATTTTAGGTTCTGAGTTTCTTTACCTGGGTGCTAATAGTTGGAGCACAAGTTAATACCTGTATGTCTCCCAGTTTTCCAAGTATGTGTTTTTAACTTCTCCAGAAAGTTTAAAATTCCAATCTTATGATGAATTCTACTAATATTTGACAACTAATTAATTTTAATTTTACATGCCTCGGATTATGTGTTAGGTAAGCAAGTTGATAATAGGAAAAAAGCTCTGATTATAGATGAGGAAGTGACTTGTTAGGTAATGTTTTAGAGAAACTGTGAACTATGACTGCCTTTGAAAGTCTGTGCTGATAATCACATAGATGAGGGGGCAGAATTTGATGAAATGAAGATTCCTACAGCAGGAACTCTTCTGCTGCATGACTTGAAAAAAATGTGTTTTGTCCTGTCTACTGCAGGTGCATTTCCAAAAGTGAGTTTTCTTCAAACTGCTTTTGAGTAAAGAGACTTCTGTAACAGATGTTCTCAGGTCTAATGGAAATGTTCTCCATTGTGGCCAATCAGTGTATTTATTGCCAATCACAAAATGTAAACTGATCTTTATAGGTAGAAGGAGGGGATAAAGATTTTTTTTTTCTTCTACTATTTAATTGTTTGTGTTCACTCTAAACCAGAATTTAGAGGAAATTGATTTGACCAGAGCATTCTATTCTAGGAAAATGTGAGACTGATGGAGCTTTTTGAATAAGCTAGCACCTTTTAAGCCTGCTGCAGATTTAGTTACATTATCTGCTTGAGTTATCAGGACTGAAGACCAGAAGGGGAAAATCAAAGCAGCCAAATACTCTTTCAAAACTTGCTAAATTCAGGAACTATCAGAATAAAGCTTTTAATGCCTGATATGCAAAACTGGTCTAAAAGTAAAGATGCAAAAGACTAATCTTTCTAAAGAAAGTTGGGTGCACAGAGACTGGGGTATTTTAGTTATTCCTTACCCATCTGTAACCAATTAAGCATTGTTTATGTGCCTCTGTCTAGTACACTAGTCAATATGCTATTAATATTAAAAAACCACCAACCCACCGATGCCATTAACATAACTATGACTTCCTTTCCTAGGACTTTATCACTGTGTTAGATCAGAGGTTTAGGTCTTGAAAGTGTCCTTGAATACCTGCATTGACAAATTTACAGCAGAAATCCTGTCCCCTACTTGTGTGCTATAATTTTTTATCAGAGACCGATTAGTCTGATTAGGATGCATACCTCTTATAGATGCCTGTCATTCCTCGTTATGAATGCTGAGACTAAAAGGCAATGGTTTCAGGCCCTACAGACCCTAAATATGAGCTGGTTTAGGGCTTAGTAAGAGATTTCAGTCAAATTCCTAACTTGGCAAAATGAAAACTCAACCTACTCATGAGTGGCCTCTACTGGTTTTGTCTATATTTAATTGCACTTCCATTGAAGCATTTACTGGTGAATGCTTGATTTAATAAGATGATTCAGAGATCTATAATAGATAAACAGTAAGCAGCTACCTTTTTTTTATTAAGGAATTGTAGAATCCTCTTTAAGAATCCTTTATTACAAAGGATTGCAATATGGGCAACTTAACCTGGTAGACAGTATTCCGTGACAGGACTAAGTATTGGTTTAACACTGATTTAGTCTGCTTGGACTGGCAATGAACTCTGCACCTCTTCAACCTGCTGAATCAAATCCATGGTATTTTTATTTAGTGCCAGTCCACACTGTGTTCTGCTAAACTAGACCTGTCATTCTTTGCTTTTTTAAAAATAAGTGGTGTTTATACAATAAAACTTAATAGATACATGAAGCTGTCCTGTGCCTTATTTCAACTTTCAAAAGTGTTTCATGTGCTCAGTATCTTCTCATTTGCTGTGCAGGTTGTTTTAAGTAATGGTTTCTAAGACTTCAATCTTTAGGTAAAATGCAGAGACTTACCTATGTAGCAATTTTTGGATTGCTTGGAGCTACCAAATAACTTTTTTCAGTTAAGAAAAGGTCACTGGTGCACCTTACCCACCCAGAAGGCTTTCATTATGTTTCTGCTACAGCTGCCATCATAACCAATAGGTCTGCAACAGAAATGTTTGTCCTCTGAACACTGAACCTGGTACTTAAAAGGAATAGTCCTGAACTTGGTCTTTTTTTTAGCTAAAGCCATACTACCATCCCAATTCTGTACAGGGTTTTAAAGCATAGTATTAAATGTTAAATGTATTGGTGACACCACCCTGTCCTCTAAACCACCACTGTTTAGACATCCCTTGGACAAATTTCTCCCCTTTTTTTAAACGCAAGCCACAAACTTCATGGCAACCCAGAGAAAGTATTCTTTCATTCATCAGGCATTTTGTACAATACAGCAATTCAAGTCTTTATTAAATGCAAGGAAAGTCATATAGGGTTACACTGAGTATAGAGAAAAGAACTTACAATAATGCTATGCTGCAAAGACTTTTTTTTTTTTCCTTGAATTTAAGGCATAAACCCAAGGCTGCAAACTGAAAGATCAGAATGTCCAGTATCCCCAAACCTCCCATCACTTTTCCACTCCAGCTTTCACAAAGTATGTTTCCCCTTAACTCCTTTGTAAGGGGCACAAGCCTATTAGTGACTCAGATTTACACTCTTAAATTTAGCGAAAAACACACCAGTTTTGAACATATTAACAAGGTAATATATTTGCTATACAATTGCAAGGCAATTTAAATATCAAATCCCAGCACTTGTACAATCTTTCCACAGTAATCTATTCTGTACTACCATGTATTTATTTCTGAACTCTTCAGTTTGAGATGGGAAGCACTACACCTGTGCAACAGTTAAATATCCATGAATAAATTCATCACCTGCTTGCTTGCTGCATTTGTGGGAACAGCAGCAGCATACTCATGCCCTACCCAGGGTGGAAGTTCTGCCTGAGAACTTCTCAACTAACATTTATATCTGCAACATTCCAGGCTTATGCACGAGGACCCTGATGATTAAATAAAACTCTGATCTGTATTTAGTCATTACCTGTCCCTATCCTTAGTTTGGTTTTGGGTCTTTTTTTGACAGTTACTCAGCTTTTCAAATGACTAAAAACCACAGTATTAGACAGTAGTGGTTTGTATTACAGATCAAAGAAGTTAGATGATACTACAAAGAAGCTATTATAAAAGATAAATTCATGTCTCATAAAAGATTTCTGCCTATTTATCAGTTGCAGTTGAAAGAACTTTAATGGAAGTAAAACATTTCAAAAGTTTTATGAGATCGAGCTCATAGAAGCTACATTAACATTCATGTAAGATATAATCAGAAAACCTAGCACCACAAAATGAAACAGTTGATAACCAGCATCTACTGTTACAGATGCTTATTCTGAATAGGCTTCTCAGACAAGATTTTGCCAACTATGAAGAATACTAATCACAGATATTACCTTTGTGGCCTGCTAAAGAAAAACTTCACTGTAGCTCCTTCATACTGTTTCTTAACTTGTAGAGTATTAAGCTGTTTATTTAGATGCTTTTGTGTAGACATCCCTTTCCCTGTTTAATGTTTTCAGGTTTGGTGAATTCAGACTGTCCCTCTCAAACAGCTTTCTCATCTGACTGTACATCTTGGTATTAAACCTATTCCAATCCTTAATTGACCATTATTTATTTTGACTTCTGCAAACTCAAAACAATTCCTTAATAATCCTTATCAAGATGTACCATCTCTGTAAGCAGTTGTAGAGCTGGAAGTTAATCAAAAGCACCTTTTGAACACAGAGCAACAAAAGCTGCATCAGAAAATGCAGCAGTTGTTACAGACTGACATTGTTTAATTGCAATGGTTGTTTTATAAATGTTTTTTAAAAGCTTATCTGTAAAAAAAGGATTTAAAGAGTCCACAATTGCTCACAGATCTGATTTCTAAAGGCTTTAAGTAAAGCAAACCTGTAAAAATATTTATGAAACTAGATTAAGGCATATAAGGAAGTTAGAATGCTTTTTACAACAACAGTAATATGATTAAAGGTGCTCCAGCACTGTGCTGCTTAAGGATCTTCACACAGTGTGTCCGTCACATCCAGTGCATCATACATGATCATAAGACACTAGGACTTCTCAGCATCAATCTGCATTTGATGCCCCAAATATCACCGTTTCTATTGCCAACAGTTGGCCTTGCGATACTTGTGAAGTATGAACAATTGATCTTTACATTAGGAAACATTTCTCTGAGGAGGTGTAGGGAGCTGTCAGTCACTATTCCAAACACCTGAAGAGTCTTTAATGTTGTTATTTCACCAAGTTCTCTAGAAAGAGAAGAATATTACATTAATCATGAACCTGAAAATTTTCTCTTTCAGCCTGTACACAAACTAGATAACTGGATTTCTACTAATTTTTTAGAAGTAAGGTAACTACTTAAGCTAAATTCCCCTTGCTACTTTTTAAAAGCACATATTTAATTGAAACTAGTTCTCTGTCTCAGTAATTCAGTAAACTGGGTGAATAAATTGCTTCTTGTTTTCACTCAGAGAAAAGCAAACTGCTACCTCCCCTTTCATTTGCCTGGACTTAAATGTTCTCTACGTTCCCATTCTGATAGTCGTGTCCCTCCTCAGTCTTTTTCATGCTGTTGATCATTTCCTTAGAGTTGACATACTTCCTGAGAGGATTAAGATGGACAGCTGCTATACTAACGAAAGGCAGAAAAAACCCACAAGCAGTTCTAAGTTTTGCTTCAGTGGCAACCAATAACCAATATAGGTGCACACAAAAGCAAAGGAATATAAACAGATTAGCTAATCAGCAAGTACCATCAACTCTGTTAACTTTTCCAAAGGACTATACCTTCATTGTTGCATAATTAAAAGCCTAATATTGACACCAATACTGGTCATTGGCAGGACTGGAACCTCCAGCTCTACCTCACAGTAATGAGTACCAGTAGTATAATACCGTTAAGGGAAGACACTATGCACGCACTGAGTGGTGAGTTCCGTGAGTACAGGCTGACATCACAGATTCTTCTCAGACACCTTTGGTTCCAGTCTGGATTCTCAAAGGTACATGCTCTAGCAGTCAGGTTATTTTATTTCAGTTCCTTATTCCTAATTCCTCATTCCAGTAACTTTTCAAAACACTACTTGCAATTCTAAACCTAAAATAAAGCAAGTTTAAGTTAACTTATCCCCTGTATGAAAAGCAAGCCAAAGCCATTTAGAGATTACTTACGCTATGTCAGCAGGTGATATCTGATAACATCGGCTAAGACACAAATGTTCTAGAAAGCTGAGTTGACGAAAATACTGGAAGCAGTCAGTACTCAACATCACACTGTCACTGTTCACAAGAGCACATGAAGTAGAGGTTTAAGTACAAAGCAGCAGTAAATTTGGTGTATCCAAAATTTACGCTGAGAATTTTGATGAATATCAACTTTTTCTACCACTGAAGGTTTTTTTTTTTTTGCTCAATATGGAAGTAACCCATTTCTGGTGTGTGTGTTGTCAGGGAGGGACTTTGTTTTTCACTGAAGGGCAAGCAAAGCAGAAGCTTCTCTGCAGGCAGATATTCTACAGCAAACTCATGCCATGAAAAGGCAATTACTTTACCCATTGAGATTTCAAATTATTTTAATTGACTAGGTCAAAACCAAAATATGCTTTTTACTGTTCTATGGCGAAGTAATAAATTTATCAGAGCTAAACTAAACCCTCTCTAGGATTCCAAGCTTATAAACTATACGCATCTATGTGCTTCCTTCCACTCTATTGACTACAATCATTAGTTAACAAATCCTGTATGTATGTAACATTTATGCTGAGGTAACAAAAAAAATCTTCAACTTAGTTACCTGTTCCAGATTAGGTCACACCAGATAGCAAATGTTTTGTAGGTTTAGCACAGAAAGTATTTTCTGGTTGTGCAAACCTACACAATCATGCACTATTACCATATAATTACTGCACTGCAATAGAATTTGCAATTCCCTGAATTGTAAGGATTTAAGGACTAGCTGCACAGGTCTCCTTACCTTAGATCTAAATGGATTAGTAAAGGACATCTTTCCACCAGTGTTTTAACATCTGAAAAGAGGTCACACAAAGTCAGTATATCTCTCAGTATCAAGGAAAATACGCTTTATACAGCCTACTCGCTTCCATATATGTTCATCTATATCTTCCCTGCTGGAACCCCACAACTGAAACAATGTTTTGTTAAAAAGATACACACTTAAGACTTACAGGAGGGCAACCCAGCACCACACAGCCACTCATTCCTCCCTTCCCACTCAGCACTGAGAACGAGAAAATAAGCAAAGGCTCGGAATTTGAGATAGGGACAGGGATGGATGAATCACCTGCTATGGTCAGGGGCAAAGAAAAAAGAACATAAACTTAATACAGTCACTAATGACAACAACACTTAAGAGTAGAACAGTGAGAAGTGTTACCACATCTTGAAAACACCTCCCCCCACCCCTCCCTTCTCAGCTCTGCTCCCGATATCTCTGCCTCCTCCCCCAGCAGCGCAGGGGTTGGGAATGGGGGGTGCAGTCAGTGCCACTGCTTCTTCCACCTTGGAGGGGGGGAATCTTCCCCCTGCTCCACTCTGATCTCCCTCTCACAGGAGACAGTCCTCCACAACTTTTCCCCAACTGGATTCCCTCCCACAGGCTGCAGCCCTTCCCGAGCTGCTCCGGCGTGGGTCACCCCCACATGCTGCAATCCTCCCAGCACCAAACTACAACAGCAGGGGCTGCTTCTTCCCACAGGGTCTCAGCCTCCTTTGGGCACAGCCACCTTAAATTGCGCCTGCCCTCCCCTGCACCCTGTCCAGACCGTATATCACCATCTGCTCCACCAAAAACCTCCATGGGGGGCGAGAGGTGCCAGGGAGGGCTGCCCTGACATCTCACCATAGGATATGGGTGGAGAGGGGGGGGCAGGTGTGTCTGTGCGCCAGCGCACCTCCTCCCACCTTTCTTCACCTGTCTTTCTACTGACCTCAGTGTTCACATAAGTGTCACAACTCCTCCTCGCAACTCCAACACCTCCCCCCAGGTCCCCTTCTTAAAAAACTCATTGCAGAGGCGCAGCTGATTGGCTCAGCCTTGGTGCAGAGGTGGGTCCAACTTGGAGCCAGGAGAACTGAGAAGCTTCTCACAGGGGCCACTGCTGTAGCACCCTCCCCTGCTACCCAAAAAAAACCCACCCCACCACTCAAACCCAGGACAAGCATACAGTCTGCCTATCAAGATAGCTTACAGGGACTTTTTTTAATCCTCAGCAAAACAGATCCATTTAGTCCAAAGAAGTGTCCCTTAAAATCAACTGCGCCAGTGATTTACCAAGTGAGTAATTCAAATGATGTTGCTGTAGAAATCTACTGAGACACAGTAATGGTGAGATGCCCCAAATTCTTACATGTAGTAAAAGAGTTAACAAAATTTTTCCATATATCAAATACCCTTTCAGAGCATCAAGTTCTTTAGACATCTCCATTTTTACCCACAGAAAGTTCTTTCCTCATGACAGTTACGGTTTTCCTGATCTAAACTATAAATTCTTGGGACCATTTTTCATTGTCTACAAATAGCATAGAATCACCTGTGGCTCATATCTAAAAGGCCACTGTTATTATCAAGGTGCTAATCAACATGCAAGAGGATTTCAGTATTTCAGAATTCATGTGCAAAAACTAAAGAAAACAATACCTAAATTATGATGATTAGTGAACTATTCAAATCTTATACCTTATAAACTGCACTGAAACAGAGTGAAATTACTCATAGAAAGCGTATAGAAAGCCTGCTGCTTTATCTCGTAGTGGGATAAAGGTTTGCCATGCTGCTATTTACCTGGTATTTGTAGATTGTGTCTGTATCCACTTAGATTTAAGTGGGTTATTTGTGCACTAACATGATTGACCACTGCTTTGATATGAGCGGCTGTGAAGTCACACCAGGACAAGTTCAGCTCCTCCAACCTACACACAAATGAACAAAGAGTTGTTTGGAAGAATGACTGAAGCACAGTTTGAGTTCCAATATTGTCTATTACAGTTGATACTTAAGGCAAAAACTGGTAACACCTACTACCAACTTCTGATATTCATGACTACAAATTTTGCTATGACAATAATTAAGCAGTGGAGCAGGCTGCCCAGTGAGGCTGTGGAATCTCTCTTTGCAGGTTTTCAGGATCCAACCAGATAAAGTCCTCATCAGCCTGGCCAGTGCTGATTTTAGACCCTGCTCTGGGGAAGGGATTAAAGTGACTTCTGAAGGCCACTTCCAACTGGAATGATTCAATAGTATCTTAGGAAGCTAAATGGTTCTCTGAGGCCCGCCACTGGGACGCTATCTTTTCATCTTGCTTCTGGGTTTGTGACCTGAATCTGTTACTGCTGAACAGATGTTCACATCAGGAGATAAAAAAGGCTATCCATTATTACATTGGTCAGACGACCAATTAATCCTAATTATCATAAAATACTTCATAGTTTTATATAAGCACTGGCCATGCTGTGACCTTAATTCTCTTTGCATGCTTCATTACATATAGCCTATCACCATTTGGGGCTGGGACAAAGTATTTGTTTTGTGTGCAGGTATTGCAGATGTAACCAGGACAAAGACACAGTGCACAGCACAAATAGAGGATTTAGCTGCCAGTCTCTATGTGGATGAAAAAAAACAGTTAAATTGCCACTAGTATTTCTAGGATTGGGTTTGCTATCTGCTGTTCACTGTATACTGTGCAGTCTGCCATTCTCTAAAGAGCTCATGATCCAAGTAATCGGACCAAGCAGTAGAAACCATTATCTACCCACGAGAGGCAGAGAAAGATTACAGCTTTGTCTGCCCACTAACTTGCAGTTTGATTCAAAACATGCTTTTCCAGAAGCAAAGATTAAGTAGACTGTCCAGCATCTCACAGGAAGTCAGCAGAAAGATCAGGATATAATTCCCAGATTGACTGGGGCTCAGTTCAGTGACATCCTGCCAGCAGATGGTTTAATCACTGAAGCTGGCAATACGAACACAGTGCTTCATAAATTAAAAGGTTTCTGAAGGATCATTCTATCATGAATGGAAAGGCAGTGTTTTCTGCTAGTCATGCTGTACTCCAATTGCAAAAGGAGATCTGGGACTGCACTGTTCAGTTTCAAAACATTCACTTTGTGAGAATCACATACTGCTTCCATTAAGAAAAATCAAATTTACATGATCATCAAAGGAACATAAATGGGGTTTACCCACCAACAAGACTTCCTTTAAGGATGATTAAGGAAGCTCATGAAAAACTACTGAAGTACATCTTCGCTATTAAAGAAGAAAATGGCTTAATAGAAAGAAACTATCTGACTATTCAGCTAATAATCAACTGCTAGACATTCAGAAGAAGAAACAGGCTCATTAAAAAAATTAGAGACAAGTACAATTGGCATGCCTACAGAAAAAAATAAAAAGGATCCTTTTTATCAGGAATAGCAAAAACTATTTACTGTTTTTGTCTTACTTAGAACAGCTGCTCAACATCAGCTCCAAGGCTTCTGCAGAAAACCTTGAACATCCACAAACATTTAGTCTCACCAAACTGGGATTCTTAGCAATGCTCCTGTAGAGAAGAAAAAAGAAGTTTGATAAAATTTAAATGTTGGAACATTGCTTGTATTACTAGGATGTGTGATTATTTCTAAGAACCAAGATTCAGGGCACAGAATTATCCATTAAACATGCAGCACTGCATCTTTAGTAAACTGAAAAGTTGCTAAAAATCTCAGCTCTGTACTCACTGCATCATGGTGCAACTTCAAAAAGGATACTTGCGTATTTACCTGACACTCCTGACAAGTCCATGTATTTAAAAACTGCTAAGTTTAAAAGGAAACAATTTCTTTTCACCTTCTCCTGTTGTATGCCATTAGACATACACCATGGCTTAGGAATGACTATACCTCTACAAAAGACAAAAGCAATCATCCCATTTCCAAAGTCACCCCTCTGCAAGATGGAGATTGTTCCAGAACAAAAGACATGTCCAAATAGCATCCCCCTGAATGCATTTGTTTGCAAGACTAGATCAGATATGCAGTTTGCAAAATCTGAAGAAACCCCTACATCTAGTATTTACATTTGTACATGAGGCACTAAAATTCCATCACTGGGGCCTAGTTAGTACCCAATTTTCAGATACTTTTAATCTGGTATCAAGAGCTAAGTTATATTGGTTTATTTGTGTGTTTATTGGTTGTGGGGTTTTTTCCCCTCTGGTGTGAGTAAGGCATCAGAAAGCTGAAAATTAGGAAGCAGGACACCCAGAGTCTCTGTCATCTGACTTATGGTCCTTGGCACCTCCACAACCACCTGATGTGATTGAACAGGAGGTTGACTGCACATTCATGTCTTTTCAGTTTAACCAAACAGTTCATCTGCTTGACAGAATCTGTAAGTTTTTAGAGACTCAGAGTGAATTTCATCAAAGAAGTGAGAAACAATGCAGAAGCACAAGAAGCATCTGGTGGGAGAGCTGCTGAGACTCCTTAAAATAGAAGAGAACCTTTATACCAAAAACAAAGTTCTCTTGGGAGCACAAAAGTGGGAAAAAGTAGCTCTGCTGTATAGCTTGGCTGAGGGTACAGCCAATGAACACAGAAGCCCTAGAGAGATGAACAGTTTCTCTAGACTTCACCTGCCCAGGGGACTGAAAAAAAAAAAAGCCACCAAGAAACACTCTTCCAGAGGTGTGTTTTCCTCCTCATCTCATCTCTCAGAGGATAGAGGAAACAGGCCGTTCATCTAGCCTGCCAGGTACATCTCTTAGGTGCCTAGAACTGGCCATTTCAAAAGACTCCCACACTGAACAACTCTCAATTGCGTTCTTGCACCAACCTGAACAAAATGACAGTACCAAACAGAAGGTATTTACTGAGTATTCCCAAACATGTCACTCACTTGATGATGTTGTCAGAAAGCACTAGTCCCTCCAAACTGAGGTTCTTCAGCCTTTGACACAGACAAAGAATATTCTGGAGATCTGCAGTGGACACTATGCAGTTTGACAAATCCATATGTTGAACTTTGAGAGGTCTGAAAAAGGAGAAATGCAGGTTACTAAAACTGCATTAAAACCTGCTCTGTAAATTTCCCATACCATAAATATACCCCATACACTAAAACTGTGCAAAGCTTGTAGAAAATAATTATACTGTTGTATTTAGCTGCACACTGGACATACTAGTAAGCTCGCTGGGACTACAGCTATGCTACTAGCCAAGACTGCAGAACTCTTATCTTCAAGGCATTTTCAGGATTTGCCATAACACCTGGAAGTCTATCCTGGTGGAGTTAAATAATTTGTTTGAGCTTCCCATATAAAAATGCTGGAGATGCTGACAATTCTTGATTCTACAAGTTCTGTAAGTTTCAAGTGGATGATGGTGCTTGACACTTTCAAAAATCACATTAAGTTGGTTTTAAATAACTGACAGGTGAATCCAGATCCTCTTATTTCAACACATGCTTAACCACTGATCAGCTCTTCCATGCTCCAGACACAGCATAAATGCTACTACTGGTAGAGACCTTAAAACCAAAAATACACAGAGAAACTATAAATATTTGAGACATGGTTTCAGGATCCAGAACATGCAGAAAAAGCCTTACTTGCTCATCTGAAACATTGGATTCCCAATACAAGACCTTGCAGCACAGAATGCAGTAACACCTAGAGGCAGCAACTGTCCAATCACACCTGGCATCAGATTTTTATCAGCCAGATCAAGAGTCTGCCAGAGAGATTCATCAAACCTAAAGCACAGAATTTTCCTTGTTAGTGAGTCAGAAAGGGTCAGACCTATAAGTATAACCACAGAAAATTTTCAGTGTCACAAAAGATTGATAAGAGGGAAAGCTATTTAACAGCATTTACTGATGTTAAAATATATGAGCCATCTTTTGATTATACATACATATAACCCACATACAGCATAAATTGAATTATACATTAATAAACAAGATGAGAACCAGATCATTTAATGGTCTATGGAAGCAAAGGTTTTCTTATTACTAATCTATAGGAATTAATACTTACGAAAGACGATACCATCTCCTGCAAACCATGGAAACTTGTAGCAAGTCATTCAGGGGCAAGCATACAAAGATTGCCAAAAGCAATTCATCTGGAAGGGTATTCCAAAAAACACCTGTAGGGAAAGAGCAAAGGTGTTTCGTTAAAGCTTGTACTTTTTTGCCTGCTGATCAGATTCCTTGTTTAGCTTGGTTGTTAAAAGCACCTCCATAGTCTCTCTCTAGGCTACACAGATATCAGCCCACTACTCAACCCTCTTGCAGCTCTTCATTGTAGGAAGGTATTATTACCATCTTTGCCTAGGTATGACTAGCAAATAATACAAAGCTTTCCACAACATCAACTTAGTATACATACAAAAGCTACAGAAACAGTTTCCCTGAAGAAATTACAATTTTTAGTCACATACTTCCTTCAGAAACAAGAGAATCCCAGTTGCTTCCTTTGTATTCTAAGGCTTGTAAGGTCCCCTTTCCCCCCGCTGAAATGCCCATCCTTCCTATATATATCAGGCTCCCAGAAGGGAGCCCAAGGTGAGCTATGCTTTTGCATGGTACACAAAGAAAAGTGGGTACTGCAAACTGCTCCTTAAAAAACACATGCTAACCACCACTCCCCCAAGAATTATCTTAAAAGATGTGGAGTGATCTCAACTTCCCACAAGTAGATACAGGGCTTTAGAAGTTGTTCATTCACATGGGAGACTTCTGGGTGGTAGAGTTCAAGAACAGCTGTCCATGACCCAGCAGTTGCCTGAGGGCATTTCCACCTTTCACATGACAGCTGTGTCTGGAGAGTGCTGTCTCTATTTTGCATTCCACAGTCACTGCAGATTAAAAACATATTTCGATACCAGGGAAAGGCACCCAGCATCCTATAACTTTTCTTCAAGAGCTCCAGGTGTTCAGGTTACAGCCCTGCTCTTTTCCTGACAGTCCCCTTCCAGCTCAGGAGCCTTACACCCTTTGCTGTACCTTTCCTGTAGCTCTCTGGCAGAGTCCCTCGCATTGTTCTCAGCTCTAACAGGAGCTAAGATGCTACCCCTCTGGCATACCTCAGCCTGCACTGCAGGAGATATGGATCAAGATCCCTCTGGTCTTGAGAAGCAAGTATCTTACTTCTTAGATGCGCAGGTGGGGGGAAAAAAAAAAAAAAAAGAATCAAGCACCACCCCTGGGCTTCAATATTATATTGGGGACAGCAATCCCAATAGCCCATATTCATCTGGCAGCTGCAGCTGTATTCTGTGAGGAGCCTGGACCCACATGGTAAGTGGTGAAACATGTCCTGGAATGGGGCCCTTGGTTTTGGGCAACAGATGCGGCTCAGGGCCCAGTTAGGACAAAGTTCCATCCAAGTCCGAGGCAGCAAGAACAGACACACAGAGACATGCAGCACAAAACCCCAGCACACAGACAGAGGCTGGCAGAAGCCAACCATGGCTTACATGCAGTTCCCACAGTTCTAGAGTCAGGCACACCACCTCTTCTTAAACGCTTACATAAAAGAGGACTTAGCAGCCCAAGCCTGAATGCCAATAGATCTAGAAGTGACATTCTGCTGGGATAAAGAAAAAAAAGCAAAGAATAAAGTACTAATGGCTTGTGATGCCCACTCTCCATCCCTACTGAAGGGCAAATAAAACCTGGAACAGGGTGACAGTACCTGGCTCTGGTATTCGGAACAGCCTAGGCCGGCGCATAATGAAAAAGTCCACCACTTTCTGCCGTTTTGCAGGACAGGACAGGTCCTGTTGCATGTTTTGATTGCCCAGCTTGTCCTTCCTAAGGACAGACACTCCCAGGCCGGAGAGAAACTCTGAAGTATTACTGTGGTCCCAGTCCCAGGTGAAGCTGATAGAAACGTTTCTGCTGGAAGATGGGATCTCCTGGAGGTGTTTTCTGCAGACACAGCAAAAAATCCAGAGGCTATGAAGATACCGCCAGACTGACACCAAACACAAGATGGGGCCCCTTGTGCAGAAGCAATTCACAGCTATGCAAAATCCACATGCCCATGCAGGGCAGTTACATGCGCTGGATCTGCGGGCACCGGAAGCACAAGCGGCGGCTGGAGGCGTCAGGCAGACTCACGCGAACACCCCTCGGGATGAAGAGCACCCCGTTCCCGGGTGGAGCGAGGGGGCAAGCGGAGGGACTCGTGAGAGCAGGCGATTGAGGACGTGTGCCCCTGTAACCGCCCCCCTCCCCGCCGCTACCCAAACCTTCCCGTGCAAACCCGTTCCAGCCGGGACACCCGAGCGCGGTCGAGGAGGAGCCGCGGGCGGCACCCAACCCGCTGCACGGACCGGGCGGGACGGCGGGAACGCCCGCAGGAGGCTCGGCGGGATCCCCACGCACGGGATGGACGCGGGGTGGGGGGAGGGGGCGGCCGCTAGGCGCCAGCAGCGCACCTCCGTGCGTGGGGCCGCCCCGCGGGATGCACAGAGGCGGCGGGGCTTCCCCCTCCGGCTGCCGCCCGCCTGCCGCGGAGCGGGAAAGTTGCAACGCGGGGTGGACCCCGGACACCCATGCACAGTGCACCACCACCCCCTCACAACACACCCACACCGCCCCAGCCTTAAGCACGCACGCCAGGGACCCAAGCACGCCTCACCTCCAGGTACCCCGACGACCCGCGCACCCCCAGCCCTGAGCACTCTGGGGAACCTCAAGAACCCACGCACACGCGCTCCCGGGGTTCCCACGCAAAACCCCACCACCCGCGAGCAGAGCGGCGACCCGCGCACGCCTCACCCCCCCAGCAGCGGGGACGGCGTTTGGGGCGGCAAGCGCTGTTGCTGGAGGCACTGGTGCTCCCCCGTACCTCTGCATGGCGGCGGAACGGAGCGCACCAGCGGGAGCTTCACACACGGGTACGCACCACCGCTCCCCGCGCTTTTTAAGACTGCGCTGTCCCGCCACGCGCACAGCACTCTCCACCTTCGGCCGGAAGCCGGTCGGCGCCCGTCGCAAAGCCTGCCGGGAGTTGTAGTTCTCCCCCCCCCCGCGCCTCAGCGCGGAGGGGCCGTACCCACAGTACCTTGCGCCCGCCTCCGGGGCGGCGACGTCAGCGCCGCTGGGGAGTGCCGGAGGTTGACGAGGGGCAAATGTCGGCGGCGGCGGCGGCCGCGGTAGCCCTGAGGCGGAAGGATCCGGGCGCGGTCGCCGCTCGCTGCGTGGCGGTCTGAGCCGTTTTGCGGTAGGGCCGGCAGCGGCGGGGGATGACGGGAGGTGGTGCCCCGCGGTGGGGGGGGGGGCCCTGACGGCTGAGCGGGGGGGCTCCGCCTGCGGGGACGGAGCGGCGCGGCCCAGGTCGCCGGCCCGTGGGGGCGCGGGGAGGGGCGGGGGGGAGGGCCGGGACTCCGCGGCCGCGGGGGCTCCGCGGCGCCGAGTCAGGGCGGGTGCGGGCGGGGGCCTGCGCGGGCCGGGGCCGGGCTGAGCCGGGCGCGGCGCCGGCGAGAGCGGTGGGTGCAGCCGTGTCCCCGCTTCCCCCCGCCCTCCCCCCATTCGCGGGGCGCTCCGAGGGGTGTGCGTGATCCGGATCGTGAGCGAGGGGAGACCCTGGAGGCGTCCGGGGTTCCCTTTGGCGGGAGAATAGAGAGAGAAGGGGTGGGCTGGGGCGGTGTTTTGGGGGGGGCGAGGGACACGGCAGGAATCGGCGCGTTCGTTTTTCTTTTCTTACTTGGCCCCTATTTTTTTCCTCCCATCAGGGACCCCAAGCATGCACGTATATGGCATGCATGTTGGTGTTTGTTAAGTGTTTGTAAACTTTGACTTGTCTGCGTATATGACAATGGATATAAAGTCAGCAGCTTTAACGGCTTTAGTGTGCAACGGCCGTATCTGGTTTGGAATATCAGAACCGTGCTGACAGTGACATTTTACCGTGAAGGATTTTTCAGCGTTTTGGAAACACCTTCACTGTGAAGGCCTGAAATTGAGGCACTGCCAAAGTATTCTGGTTTTATCCCTAACCATACTAGTTAAAACTTTGCAATCTTTCTACACCATGCTTCAGGTTTATGCTAGGCTTTATTTCAGTAATGCAGCTCTTCATGCTTTTCTCCAAACTATTTGTTTTGAAATTGGTGGGGATGGAAAACTAATTCTGAACACACCTACAACTCCGGTCTTAGTCAGACACTTGCTTGTAAATGCTGTCCTTTGTTTACTGTGTTACGATGGAGAGATGTGCCTATAAATTTGAAGATGGTAATGGACTGTGTGGCAAATCGTACACAACTGTGAAGTCAGATACAGACAATGATGTGACTCAAATTAGCATTTGTATAATCTGAAAAAATAATTTGTGTTAACTGTTTCCAATTTTTAACTAAAGTAATGGAACAGTTGTTAAAAGGTTATTTGTTATTTGGGTGGATCATCAAATGAAAGAGGTGTTTTTTCAGTTTCAAAAAAATAAGATGTTATTAACATCTTATTTAACCCCTTCTGCAGCCACTTTTTTTCTTTGTCAGTCTTTTCACTTTTCTCTATTAATGTATGGGACATTGAAAGATGAACTTGCTGAAAGAGATAAAATCCAATTATTTTTTTAAAAGCTCTGAATTACCAAATAATCTGAGTTTGCCTTAATACAATGTTAGGGTTGTAATCATGTGATTGACTACCTTATTGACACTTATCATTCATTCACACATTTTGTGTGAATGCATTAGTCTGGCAGCCCAGGTAGCAATTTCTGTTCTTTTTTTGAATTCTTACTGCAACTCTACAGCTTTTGTGTCTGATTGGATTTTAATTCTTCCAAGCAAGTTGTTTTCTTCAATGTGTTATTGCCAGAGTACTCCCCTAAACCCACTGAAAGCATCAGTTTCTGTGGTACTTAATGTCCTTTATTAGAGGACAAGGCAGCACCATGTGAAGTAAATAAAATTCCAGTGGTTTTGTACTAATGGTCTCTGCTTGCTTTTAAACACAAAAATCTCTGTGATCCTTGGTCAAGCATTTATCTTTTATTTAGTGCTTCTGTGGAGAACCTAGTCTCCCACCAAATCAGAAAATACTGCTCTTTTGAATGGAATCAGCACAACATTTTATTATTCTTTTATTGTCATCGACAGATACAAAACTTGTTTCTCTGAATATCGATATACAAGCAATTAGGTGTTTAGTCAATTTAAAATCTTCATTGGAAGATAGTTGAAATTACAGGTACTAATAAAATCAATCAGTATATAGACTGACTAGTGTTTCTCAGAAGAATAAAGCTCTGCAAATTATGTTTTGTCATTTAAAGATGGAAGTGCAAAGGTCTTTTAGTATGAGGTAGTTTCTATGAGTCCAAAAGGTTTAATCATGTCTGTAAAATGAAGTATTACTGTAGGATTCTTAACAGCATAGTTTTTCAGACTAGTGCAGGCTTCAGAAGCCTATCACAGGTGTTGTGGCATACTATTTTTCTTTTGTCAAGTGAACTGTGCTGGAAGAAACTCGATAAGAACTAGCAGATTATTACCTGACAGGCAAAAGATCATCACTGAACTGGCCATTGATACTTTGCTGGAGATGGCAGCTTTTAATTTATACTTGCCACTGAGTTGTGAATTCAGCTTGAGATGGCAGTTGCTGTCACCAGATGTGTCTTTCGGTATGCTGTGGCTTTCACTCAGCTTTGTCCATTACTATCTTTGATACCTCTTTCATAGTTTGGTAACTTTCTTGGTGACAGTTTTTTTCAGATGTGATTATGTTGTTTAAAACACAGAGTAACACAAGAAAATCTCTAGCTGCTTGGTTCTTCAAGTGTTTTAACAAATATATAAGATTGCTAGAAAAGTAACTTTTCCAAATGTGTTTGATGATCATCTGAGACTACTTCCAAGAGCAACAACTACAAAAAAGCTGTAGTATTCTAGAAGTGGCTGAGGTACCAAAGATATGAAAACCAGAAGCATGGTGCCTATCTTTATTACTAATTTTTGAAGGACAAGGAGGACTACAGATTGGCAGACTAGTCTACTTGCTTCTGAATTCCTGAAAAATCTGGAACAAAAGCTGTTTGTAACCATCTAGAATTTAATAGCTGAATAAAAGACAACATCAGTTTGTCAAGGACAAATTGTTGAAGTAATCTAATTTACTTCACTGATAGGCCTACTGTATACAAGAGGATCAGCTGAAGTCTTATATTTGGTCTTTAGTAGGACTTTTCTGTTTCTCAGGATTTTTTTGCTGGGGAAGAACAGTTGGGAACAGCTACTGTTTTGATTAAGGAGGACAATCCCTTGTCAGCTACTCTTCATGACTTTCACAAAGTGTTTCCGTAATTAAATAATGTGATTATTAAAACTTAAGAAGGCATTAAGCTTGTAGGCATTGCAGACCCTTTTGAGTGTGGTAGTGGAAAACAAAATGCCTTGAAGATGCACAAGCCTGTGGGAGGGGAAAAGGTATAAATGACTAGAGTCCTGTGCCTGAACTTAAGCAGGAGCAATCAACCACACAAATACAGGATAGAGAACAATGTTGTGTTTCTTGTGGGAAATAATTTGGAGGGCAGAGTAAGTGGGATACATGAAGGGGAGATCACACAGGTTATGCTTCCATTTTTACATTTCAGTAAGGCATGTGAAGCAGTGTTGACCCTCAGTTCAGGCCTTCTCATGCATTAGCTGAGGTACTACATGGGTTCCAGCTCACTGTAGAAGGAAGTGGGTAAGATGGGGAGTGTGTCCAGGGCAGCAATGAGAAGTCTACAGAAAGTATGATACTGGACTGACTGAGAACGATTGCAGCACCAATTAGATTAGTCCGCAAAATGAACAATCTGATAGTAAAACACTTTCCTGCAAAGTTTGAAAAGAATAAAACCATGGTAGAGTCTGATGGAATTTATAAATAAAAGGGTATTGAAGACCACTTTAGTGAGGAGATCAAGATCTTTTCTTAACAGATATGCTCCACTCTTTTTAGCCCTTTTTAAAGAATATAATATTGGAGTGTTATTGTTCTTCTATTTGATGCCATATAAAAGCTCTAACGTTTTTTTTTCATTCTCTGCTGTTTCATTTAGTAACTTGAGTATTTCTGTATGAGGCAGAGTAGTGAGTTAATTTGTAATGTAGATGGTCATAAGCATGGTTAGTCTTGAGGTTGGAAAGGTAATTTAATCCTGTTTGATAGTAGGGAGTCTCCAAGGGAATTAAGTGTGAATTGAGCCCTTTATGGTGCTTGTAAAAAGCTTGGTTTGGACTCCAGAGGATTTCATGTTAGAATTTTGACAGGTATGTCCTATATGGGGGTAACCAAACTCTTAAATTCACAAAAAAAAACTTACTGATTTTGTCTGTTTGAAACAAAGCGAGAAAATGCTAAACTACACAACAAAGTGTCCTTGTCTTTTATTGGTTAAGTTGCACTTCCAGTGCCAGTGTTTCAGTTTTTGATTCTACTTGTATTAATTTGCCTTACTCTCCAGAAATGGAGTATACCAATAGATACTCTTCGCTTCAGAGTGAGGAATTCTGTTACTTTTTGTCATTGTTTAATAGTAGTATCTTCTAAGCAGTTGAAGGTTGTGGAGTACAAGAGAACTCTTCTGAAGTAATTCATGGATCTCAGGAGAACATTGTTTAGGAGATCTGGAATTTCTGCTGATACTAGGGAGCCATGTGCTAGTTGTGAGAAGCCTAAGTAAAATGAAGAAACAGAACTATGGGTAAGGAACTTAACTTCCTTTGAGCTAACAGCCAGGTTCAGTGGCAAATGCTGCTTGCCACAAGAAGGCATGACTTTATAGCCTGCAGTAATATATTATAAGGTCTGATACAAATGATTAGAGTAGCGTGGGTCCCAAATACGGCTGTCCTGTTAGTCAGGATTTAGTTCACAGTAAGAGCTCCTCTCAAGCTTTGCACTTCTCACCTTGTGGATTTTTTTTTTTCCATTTAAGCTGTTTGTGTGGAGAGCTA